TTAAGAAAAGAAGATAGATTATTATCACCATTCCAAATATTTATGTACTCCTCACACTTTAGAGGCATGTACACACATAGACACTTACTGAATCTAACCCTTGGATCCTAGGAATGATTGAACCCAAAAATTTAATACCACTAAATATAACACCCTAATATGGTTCGACCCGAAGATCGAAAGAAAAAATATTACACGGGACACCAAAGTGGCTAACCCTTTTTTAAATGACATCATAATACTCATTTGAAAATATCATCGTTTAAAACACACATGAAAACATAAGTACTCGAGTTTACAATAATGAGGAGCTCTCAAACATCTTAAAATACATATATCAAGTATTACAAAATAGAGTTACGACTCAATACATGAAGGTCCATGAATAACACATGCCCTCTAGAAAGATACAAGACATACTCTTATGCCTCGACAAGTTTGGAACCACTAATGACGATAATGTTTCTCAAGAGATCTCCTAAGAACCTATGTATAGAAAAAAATTTCAAACATTGAGCTCACAAGCTTAATGTCACACTAATAGTTGTATTATACTATGTGTATTCACTACATAAGTATGCTAACAAGTAAAGACATAAGCATACAAGAACGAATACACTAAAAGTTGAGGTAGGCATCATGGTGTTGTCGAAGGGTTCTATATCCCATGACACACATCCCTCTAGCCTACCTGTAATAACCAGGGGTATTTGGGGTGAAATCCAAAACTGCATTGGAAACGTTCACTCAACCAGGTTACTCCTTGAAAGTATTTGGGGCATCTGTGCCTAGCTAAAAAATGAACTGCCTTGGAACTAGTTGAGTTATATCTAGATTTTCTACTAATAGAAGACAATCATCGTATTGTTAGAGTAATTTGGGTTTCCTCACTATTTCTCAAGTGTCATACAATTGCTAGTTTTATGACATCTTATTCATATCATTCTTAACATTTGATGTGTTCATTAATTATTCTCATAGTAAGCTCGTTTAATAAAATACTAGTGATTGTAGACCCTTTCCCAACCCTTGGATCAAATTGGATTTCTTGACAAAATTAATATGGTGGTACCGGTACTAAGCCTTTCAATATCGGTATTCACCCTTCAATATTGACACCCAAACTCTACCAATATCAAAATTATCTACTGGAATCTGAGGAAGCCTTGTAGGATCGATACCCTTATTAGGTGTATTAATACTTTTCTACTAGGGTATCAATACCATATTGGGCATCGTTACTAAAACTGGGTTCTATGTTTTGAGAAATTAAAATTCAATATTGATACCTTTACTTGGGATATCAGTACTTTTGTCTTGAGTGGTTTCGATACTCTAGAGTACTAGTACTAAAATTAGCTACTAAAATTTGTAACTTATTGTTGGTGTCGATACCCCGCACTTGAGTATCGATACCCATCGAACAATGTTAATATCCTATGAATATGTTAACGATATTACCTAGCCATAACCCCTTATTTTTTTCTAAATGAAGAATAGTATCGGTAATGTTCATCCAGTATCGATACTTGAGCCCATAAATTCTATGGTTTTGCTCGAAAGATGACACATACTTAACCCATTTTTCTATCTAAGACCCTTAAACTTTATTTAAATTTTATGTAAGCTAATAAAGGTCATAATGAGTCATTTTTCATGTTGTATAACATCATAAACTAAAATTTACTATCGATGTACTTCATGTTTCATAAAGTTAAAATTCAATATCGATATCGTTACTTAGGGTATCAATACTTTTATCTTGAGTGGTATCAATACTCCAGGAGTACCGATAGAAAAGCTACCTACTAGAATTTGTAACTTAACGCTAGTATCGATACCCAACAAACAATATCAATACCTTATGAGCGGGGTATCAATACTATCCAACCACAACCCCTTGTTTTTTGCTTTCTAAAGAACAATATCAATATTGTTCATTTAGTAACGATACTCGAGCCTAGAAATGTTCTTTTTTTTGCTCGAATGATGACACCCAACTTAACCCACTTGTCTATCTAAGGCCCTTAAATGTTATTTAAGTATTATGCAAGCTGATATGGGTCATAATGATTCATTTTTCATGTTCTATAACATTAAAAAACAAAATCTACCATGGATGCATTTCATGCTTTATGAACTCATACATGCTAGCTAAACACATCTAGTGATCTACAAGTGGTATAGATGAGTTATAAAGGTGTTACCTTAAATCTTAAACTGTTGGAAACATTCAAGGTTCAACCAAGTGCTAGCTTCTCCTTTTCCTTTCTTTTGGAGCTTTCTTTAACTTCTTTCATTATAAAAGAATCAAATACATGATTTACTAACTTTCTTGGAAGCTTTGAAAGATGTTAAGAAGGTTTCTTAAGGATCAAATCCCTAAAAAATGAGCTAGATATACATGAGTTTCTAAACTTCTCTAAAACCCTTCATGTGGTTTCCACAACCAAACCTTGATTTTGTGCACTTAAAAACAAACTCTAGGAGAGATGATTACAACCCTTACCTTGATAATTCTAGACTAATCTTTCAAGGCCAAAAAGTTAATACTGATGATAATTCATACTTAAAGAAAATATGGAGAGCAGAGAGATAGAAGATAAATGAGTCTGAGGAAAAAAAAGGTGTGTTCCAGTGTGACCTCATTCCCAATTTATGGGATTCAACCTATAAAAAACAAAAAGGGTAATTCACCTCCTTGGCCCCTCCAACTTTGATCTTGTAACATCCCAAAATCGAGTCTGGTTGTTTCAGGTCAATAGTCGGGCCGATTTCCAAATTTTCAGTAAAAATAATAATTTGGTATTTTCAAAGTATTAAATAATTTTGTAAGTGGTTTAATTGGTTTAAATGGTTTGAAATTATTAACTTCTATTTTTTGAACTTAATAATTTAATTTTAATGGGTGAATAAATTGAATAATTTTAAAGTTGTGATTTTAGTGTCTAAAATATAAGGATCACTAAATAAAAATCTATGAAGCCTATTTTAACAAGGTTTATGATTAGTGTTTTCCCTTCTAAATTAACCTTATCTTAATTCTTCATTTTTCCCAAAATTCCATCTAGATTTATTTTCTAATCTTTTCTAATTTTCATTTTGGTTTTGTGATTAACCGTTCATTTTTTCATAATTTTCTATCGTATCTTTTTTCTCTCAAAATTATCTCAAGCTTTCTCTCATGGATGAAACCTTTTTCAATTCTTTTGTTATTGATTTTCTATCTCTATTTTAATTCTATTTTCAAAGACAAAATTGATCATCTTTCTTTTCTCTTGCTTTTTCTTTAATCCTTTTTGGTGAATTCCATTGATGATCATTCCTTTCCTTTCCTTCCTTCTATTTTCCAGCAAGGTAATGGTTCTCCCTTGGTTCCTTTTATTGCTTCAATGATTAATGATCTATGTGGTTGATGTTTTTGATTTATCAATCTTTTATAAAGAGGATTTATGGATTTAAATATGATTTTCGGAGTTAATTAAAGACTTATTTTTCATGAGTTAATTTTGAATTTTTCTTAACATAATTGAGGTGTTTTAGAGTGATTAAAATTATATTAAATCAGTTTTTCATTTGATTATGGCTTGGATATCTATTTCTTGAAAATAAGTGTGATTTTTGTGTTTTCCAGAAATCCAGGAATTGATTTTGGTTGTTTCTGATTTGGATGATTTAATAGGTGATTAAAATCATATTAAATAAGTTAGTGTTGATGGAGGCTTTCGTTTTGGTACATCCAGTGTCGGGGAAAGATTTTGTGGTGTTTAGTGATGCGTCTATTACCGGTCTTAGGTGCATGTTGATGGAAGATGGTAGGGTGTTTGCTTATGCATCAAGGAAGTTGAAACTGCATGAGCGTGACTATCCAACTCATGATTTGGAGTTGGTCGCGGTATTGTTTGCGCTAAAGATTTGGCGTCCCTACTTGTATGGTGAGAGGTGTGTCATTTACACCGATCACAAAAGTCTCATGTACCTCCTTAGTCAGAAGGAGTTGAATTTTAGGCAAAGGCATTGGGTTGAACTGCTGAAGAATTATGATTGCTCGATTGAGTATCATCCAGGTAAAGCGAATGTGGTTGTCGATGCGTTGAGTCATAAGTTGATGGGCAATTTGCAGACTTTGTTTGTGATTTTGAGTTTGTCCGAAGATGAGTGTTGATCACTGAATTATAGATTAGGTCTACGTGATCGCAACGTATTCTTGATTTGTAATCTAGTGATAGTAAGTTGGAATCAAGGTTGAAGCTCGCGAGAGATGGTTCATGTGGTGATTTCTCATTGAATTTTGAAGGTGTTTTGTTTTTCCAATATAGGTTGTGTGTGCTTAAGGATTTGAGTTTGAGGCGTGAGATTCTTTCGGAGGCACATAGTGGGCCATTTATGATGCATCTAGGTAGTACGATGATGTATCAAGATTTGTGAGAGTTGTATTGGTGGATGGAATTGAAGCATACGATTGTTGAGTTTGTTGGTTGATGTTTTGTTTTTCAGTGTATAAAAGCCAAACATCAGTGTCCTTCGGGTTTACTTTAGTAGATTAGTATTTCAGAGTGGAAGTGGGAGCGTATTATGATTGATTTTGTGACGTGTTTACCTTTAAAACCATCAAAGAAGTATTCTGTTTGGGTAATTGTCGATCGTTTTTCGAAGTGTGTGTAATTTTTGCCCGTGCATATGATTTTTTTGCTTAATCATTTTGCGGAGTTGTATATAGTGAAGATAGTGCAGTTGCATGGTGTTCCTTTGTCAATTATTTCATATCAGGACCTACAGTTTTCGTCAAGGTTTTGGAAGAGTTTGCGTGAGGTATTAGGTTCAAGGCTTAGTCTCAGTAAGCTTATCATCTACAGATGGATGATCAACCGAAGCGTGTAATTTAATTTTTGGAGGATATGCTTCGGGCTTATGTTATAGATTTTGTTGGCTCTTGGGAGCATTACTTTTCGTTGGTGGAGTTTGCGTATAATAATAATAATTATCAAGCAAATATTCAGATGGCACCTTTTGAGGCGTTGTATGGTCATAAGTGTCATACTCAATTGTGTTGGTCAGAGTTAAGTAAGATGATTGTTGTTGGACCGGATCTAGTTTGGGAGGCAGAAGATAAGTTTAAGTTGATTTTAGAGTGGTTAAATGCTGCTTTTGATCAGCAAAAGTCTTATGCTAATTTGAAGCGTCGTGAGATTGAGTATGTCGTTGGTGATTTGGTGTTCTTGAAGGTTTCATCTTGGAAGAAGATGTTGCGTTTTGGATGTAAGGGTAAGCTTAGTCCGAGGTTTATAGGGTCGTATGAGGTGTTAGAGTGCGTAGGTCTGGTTGCATATCAACTTAGGTTGCCGCATGAGCTTGAGTGTATTCACGATGTCTTCCACATATCGATGTTGCGTAGGTATTGGTCGAATCCTTCTCATGTCATTTTGAAGGTTGAGGTTGAGGTTCACACTGATCTTTATTATGAGGAAGAACCGATAAAGATTTTAGCTAGTGATGTGAAAGTGTTTCGTATTAAGTCTGTTTCGTTAGTAAAGGTGTTGTGGTGTAATCACAATGCTGAGGAAGCAACGTGGGAGTCCGAGGAGTTGATGAGATAATTTTTAGGATGAAATTCTTTTTAGGAGAGAGAGTTGTAACATCCAAAAATTGGGTCTAGTAGTTTCGGGTCGGTAGTCGGGTTGGTTTCCAGATTTTCGGTAAAAATAACAATTTGGTATTTTCAAAGTATTAAATAATATTGGAAGTGGTTTAATTGGTTTAAATGGTTTGGAATTATTAATTTCAATTTTTGGAACTTAATAATTTAATTTTAATGGGTGACTAAAATGAATAATTTTAAAGTTGTGATTTTAGTGACTAAAATGTAATGATCACTAAATAAAAAAAATCTATGAAGCCTATTTTACCAAGGTTTATGATTAGTGTTTCCCCTTCTAAATTAACCGTATCTTTATTATTCCTTTTTACCAAAAATCTATCTAGATTCATTTTCTAATATTTTCTAGTTTTCATTTTGGTTTTTTTATTAACCGTTCATTTTCTTATTTTTAAAATTTTCTATCGTATATCTTTTCTCACAAAATTCTCTCAAGATTTCTTTCATGGCTGAAACCTTTTTCAATTCTTTTGTTTTTGATTTTCTATCTCCTTCATTTTAATTCTCTTTTCAAAGACAAGATTGTTCATCTTCCTTTTCTCTTGCTTTTTCATTAATCCTTTTTGGTGAATGCCATTGATGATCATTTCTTTCCTTCCTTCTATTTTTCAGCAAGGTAATGGTTCTCCCTTGGTTCTTTTTATTGCTTCAACGATTAATGATCTATGTGGTTGATGCCTTTGATTTATCAATCTTTTCTAAAGAGGATTTGTGGATTTAAAGATGATTTTTGGATTTAATTAAAGAGATATTTTCCATGAGTTAATTTTTGACATTTTCTTGACATAATTAAGGTGTTTTTTGAATGATTAAAATCATATTAAATCAGTTTTTCATTTGATTATGATTTGAATATAGATTTCTTGAAAACAAGTGTGATTTTGGTGTTTTTTCGGAAATCTAGGAATTGATTTTGGTTGTTTCTGATTTGGAAGCTTAGCGGACAACAAATGTGAGTGATTTTCATTATTTGTATGTGGACTTGTTCAAAGGTGAATTGAGGTATAGTGTAGAGTGACTCTTAATCTAGAACTCAAATAATTATGAATATTTATTGATGCATTTACTGAATATGTGATGTGACATAAATTGTGAATGTGTTATGTGAATTGTGATTGTGTTGCAATGATGCATAGGGATTTCAAAAGTGTATTTGAAAGTGAGTATATATTAATTGAAAGTGAACAACGATGATTTGACCTTCTCGTTGTCCATATAAGTGTGGTTGATCATGACAACCAAAAGTGATAGTGTTTCAAAATGTGTTTGAAAGTGTATAAGTGAAACTATGCATCATTTACAACGACTCTTGATGAACTTGGATTAATTGACTATTTGTTCTTAATGGGACCTTTGGGTATGAAAGGCATGCCTAGGAAATACTACTCTAAGTGTTTTGTTCAAGTGTAAGTGATATAGGAATTATACGGGGTAAAGTTGATGCATTGAGCTTTGTTCCGGGAATATCACGGGATAAGGATGGTTCGCTGAGTTTTGCTTCAAAAGTTTTGGGTTTTGGACTTATGTGAGTCCACAAATAAAATGCGAGTTGTATGGAGTCTGTTTACCCAACAAGTGAGTTGTATGTTTAACAAAGGCCATTGATCTTAAAATGAAATAAAGTGTGCATGGTGTGTGACTTGCCAAAAAGGTAATAACGCATATGTGTATGTGTTGGATGGTGGATATATGATGAATAATGATATGCATGTAATATGGAAATTTTGTTTAATCATGATGCATAATGCCATGACATGAGTATATAAACGTTGAGGTAAAAATATGTGAGGAGTGAATGCATATAGGGCTTGCTTTTAGCTTTGAATTGTGCATTACTTAGAATGTTGGTTATTCACTGGGCTTTCAGCTCACACTCGTTGTTTAATACCTTTTTTAGAGGACTAGTTGTTGTGTTAGAGGCAAGGAGCTTGAACTCATGGTGATTGAGCAAGGCAAAAGTGAATAAAATGTATGTGACCATTTTCCTAAATATGGCAATGTGGGGTCCTTGGGAAATAGACAATATTAATATACTTTTGATGTAATAAGATTATTTTGTTGTGGAACATTGGTTTGTGGTATTGGATTTCATTTGGTTGGATTTGAGGTATTGGATTGTTCGAATGCAAGTTGTTGCTTACTTGAATGTGGAAATTTACCAAACGTTGAAATATGCCTTAAGTAAGTGGTTGGTGTGCTTAGATAAGAGACATTAAGTGTACTAAATTTAGACTTATAGGAAGCATGAAATGACCCAAAATGCATAATTGGACTAGGTGACTTCTACTCTAAGTGAACTTTTATGCAATCTTTGACTTTTGATGCCAAATCCTTGTATGTTTATGTGATTTGTGTTATGAAACATGCTACAAGTATATTTTTATATGTATAAAATGGTATGATAATGTCCAAGCATGTATCTAGTCCCTATGAACAAATATGTGGAATTTTGGTAAATCAATTATACATGTTTTTGAGAATTCTATACTTTTCTAGAAAAATGATCGATCCCTTTTCAAAAAAGATCGATCCCTTAGCCTGAAGGATCGATCCCAAACTCACTATTTTGCTTAGGATCTATCCCCCGTGAAAAAGGATCGATCTCTTTTCAAAAATAATCAATCCCTGTACTTTGTAGCCCGATCAAAACTGGATAAATTACATTCATTAAGGATATGAAGTGTCCCCAAGTCTTCTTTTGACCTCAGCATTTTTATGTGAGTTTAAAGTGGTCTAGAAATTGATTTGCTAATTAAGGATAACCCTTAAATTATATTTTGTTGAGACTTGAGCTATCACCCTTAAATATATCTAATTCATAATGGGAGTGTCAATTGTATGTATTCTTTTGGTACATGACTTTTGAAATGTTTACGTTTTGGTCCTTAGGGATGTATGTTTGATTAGGGGCTTAAATGATGTCCGATTGGTATGAAATTTTACATGTCACTAATTGGTAACTAACTAAGACTAATAATAAACTTAATTTGGTGTTTGTATGTTGAATTATTGGGATGATGCGAAATGTCTATTTTACCCATGTTTGACTAATAATGTTGTTATAATGATTCAATGCCTTAAATGATCATGTAATAGATTTGATGGTTCGTCGTTACGTGTTTTTAATATGCATGATTTAAATTTATGTGCTTCTGCATAGTGCGCATGATAGGATTTTATTTGTTCGACGTGATCGAAACCTAATGTACGCTCAGGTATCTTAGTTTATCTTCTAGACCAGTTATGGGGTGTTTCAGATCTCAAATAAAAATATCCTTTTTTATCTCTACTTGGGCTCAAGTTAAGCCTAATCCAACTCAAATTTAGACCAAGGCTTCCTATAATGCTAACGAGTTTATCCATAACCCTCTCAAGTTAGCCTGGAACTACTAACTCGAGATTCGAGGTGTTACATACCCCTCTAATCATAGTTAACTAGGAAAACACTATAATAGGCTCTAACTGACCCTCTTAACTGCAATGAAAAGGTAAATCGGAGTGTTGAGATCTCCCTTACGAAGAACTTGCAAAAACGTACTCACATTGTATTATTATTCTAAAACAAGATGATTACAATAGTAAATTAAGTCTTCTTTATATAGGGTGAGGAGTTCCAAAGTTTTAAGTAACTAACAAATAAAATAATAATAAACTAGATAGAATGTTTGACTCTAATTCATAATAAAAATAAAAAATATAATGAAACTTCCTATATGAAATTATATTATAAATAATCAATAAAAATATTAAAAATTTGTAATATTTTTAAAATCCATTAGCCTGAATAGAAATTTCTACATGCAATGTCTTCGCTAAAATCGACATATCTTTAGTTCCTAACATTGGTTTGATGTGTTTCAAGTAATGTTGGAAAGCTAAGAGATAGACAGTTATATCTCTAGAAGACATGTCAACCAAAACACATCTGAATCCCATTCAAAAAGTCTTCGGTCTAATATTGTTTTGGTATTCATTTTCAAGGCTTGGACGTGTGGATCAATTGGAAGAGTCAGTCCATCTTTTTTTGTTGTGAGGTGTATGGTGCATGTATCACAAGCTGAAAATATTTAGATAAAACTACTGACCCAACATATTCAAAAGATATGTGATTTGGTTCCACATGATAAGATGTCAACTATGTTGTACATAGATAATGTAAAAATGTATACCTCAATTGAAAAGAGGATACATCAAAGTAAATATATTTCCCTAAATTTTCCTACCACATGACTTCAAAAAATTGTAATATAAATATTCAACGAATTTGTTCAAGTGATGATTTGAAAGATCTTTTATGATATTATCATAAGGTCTTGTTATATTTTTTCCCTTAATCAAGATTTTGTCCCACTGAGTTTTCCTAAAAAGGCTCATAACGAGACAACATGTTATGTATGTACCATTTTTCTTTCATTAAGTGTTTTTTCACATGTTTTTTATCTTATTAAGGTATTAACGCGGCACATTATCTTCATAGACATCCAAGGGGTGTTAGGAATTATTATTTACGTGGATGCCTATCTTTATCTATAAGATATGATTTTAATATACTTTATTATTTGGACTTTAATACCTATTAAATTTAGAGTTCTATATGATATATACTCTTATACTTATAAATATAGAATTGGCTTAATACAAAAATAAGTGCCCAAACTTTACTTCGAAATACGTATTCCTAAAGAATTTTTCACTAAAAATAAGTGCCTAAAGTTTCAAATGTTATACTTTTAGGTGCCTGGACATTAACAACCGTTAAATATCTTCGTTAAGTGACACGTGTTACATTATGAAATTTCTGAGAATTTATTTAAAAATAAAAAACAACTTTTTGTAAAAAAACCCCAAAATAGACCCCCGTGCCGTTGGTCAACCGACAGTGATCGTTATCGCTACCAACTTCATTACCATTGTCGACCCCTGATCAAACCCCTGTTGGTC